CCGAACTTATTTGAACCGAATCTAGCCCTAATTAAATGGTCCGTAGGAGCGAACCAAAAAGCCATGAAATCCTTGTTAGGGTGGTATTTCCGTATGTAATGCTTTGGACATAAGTCTTTGAATGAAGATCATGGTGGAGGCTTATTCAGCTCTTCCATGTTATTGTTGGCTACATGGTTTCTCAGCTTCTTGATAGTCAAGTGGAGATTCACGTATTGTACCCCATATGAAGTGGTTTGTGAAATCCCATTTCCGGATTTCATTGTTATAATCTACGTATTTGTATTATTGAGATTTTATATTATTTTTCGAGAATTTATTTTAATTTATTTGAAATTAGATTTCAATTAAACTAGTTACGAAGAGTGAAGTTTGGAAAATTATTATTTACTCGTTGACCTTTCAAGGTCACAAGTAAAGTTTTTGAATAGGTCTTGACGCCATGAGTTCATAGGCAAAAGCCGTTTGCGAGTCCGGGTTATAATGGTATAGTTATGGACATCTGAAGTTGTGTTTCTAAACTATAGATTTTAATTTTGTTTAAAACTCCCACTAGGTGGGAAGGGGAACCAATGTAAGGCTTGGTTTTTGGCCCAATCACTTAAGGGAAAAAGAGGACCAATTAGAACGGGAAGGGAAGGAAACAACTAATGAGGAGAGGAGGGAGGAATCTCCCCCTTCCTATTGACCCATGCAGCCCCAACAAAACTCAGTTTCAACCCGGTTTGATTATAGCCTCCTCCTGCAATTTTCCGTTGAACAACCACCATTTACTACCTGCAATCTCTTCCACTACCTCCCTTCTACCTTTCTCGCCCAAGATTGAAGGGTTTTAGGTCCAAAACCATGTAAAAACTGTGCGGGTGACCCATGGAGCTTTGACGGCGATTCCGCCGTTCCGGTGAGTTTCACCACCCACCACCACCCCTTAGTCAACTCCCATTGGACCCGGGAACAAGACTCAACAGGTTGTAGGAGTGTTGGAACATCGAGGAAGTCGAATTGAAGAACACCCACCTTAGGGTTCCGGTGGTTTGTGGCCAGTTTGGGGTGTTTTCCGGCCAAATTGGCCTTAGCCGCAGGTATAAAGTTTACTCTACTTGTTAAGATCTTCATTCTTGTAAAAATTGAGAATTTTTGGAAAAAGTCAAATTTTCCGATATGTAACATTCGATTTATGAAATGCTGTTGGTTAAATATATTTTCGATAAGGTCCGCTACTTGAATATTCTAACAATTGACGATCTTACCATTGAATTGACATCAAATTTTAGTATGCTATTGTAGATATGGTTTATGGACCTTAGGGAATTACTAGTGAAAATCAAGTGGGCCTATATTGGTTTGATAACGACTTGATTAGATGAAATATGATTATTATCTTAATTTCTTATATTAGTATCATTTGTGAATACGAATTGGTCTTATAATTATGATTTCTATTGAAATGTGAATTTTATATATTTAGCCATAGACCTATGCTAATTAACTATGATTTGGCTTGTGTATTGATGATGTCTGTGATATATATGTCTTTAGTTAACTTTTTAATAATGTGAATAATAATTATGATGAATGTTATGACAATTATGGGAGCTAATTATTATTTGATAATTATTTGGGTATGCTTGCCAACTGAATAACTATTTGAACTTGGCACTATTACCTAGCATGAGATGGAGATGGAAGTCAGGAGATGAGTTAGGTACTTTATTAGATTTCTAGTAGAAATAGTAATTAAGGGAATTCCTTGTGTTGTGCTCCATCTGACTAGATACTGGTTGATATGTGGAATCGATAGCATGTATGCGTATAATTAATGTGTGATGATGAGATTGCATCACGTAGTAGTGGTACATGGATGGTCCTTCTTGGTATATTCGCGATGGGGGACCATATGTATTCAAGGGTGATAATGCTTGGTATATCCGTGATAGGTGATCACTGCCTGCACGATGAGTTTTGCCTATGGTCCTGCTTGGTATATCCGCGATGGGGGACCATACGCATTCTAGAGGTGATGATGACTAGTTGTACATGGTACATTTTTAGGCGATCATATTTGGTTTGGTTCCGCTGAGTGGTTCCGAACCCGAGGTTGTTGAATTTCTTGGGCGGCCTAAAATCCCATTGTTTGGAGAAGTAGGCTTGGCCTAACTGTGTCATTCTGGCCTTAGTTTTACATATATATATATATATATTTGTGTCAATGGTTTCGAGAGTCTTGTGAATTGAGTTAGAAAAAATGTTGGACGTCTGAGTGACTCCTTTGGGATTTTCTATAATTCAATTATGATTTTATAAGGTATGAATTTAGAAGATATGGGAATGATTGTTATTATTTTGATCAAATTAATTAATTAATGCGGCTAGAGAATGGTTTTGTGTTTCGTCGGCTCTTAAATTTGATGTGTGTTGTGAATTGCAATATCATGATGAGACATAATGATTTATATGTTGGATGGGAGAGAAATCATGTTTTCATGGGGATTGGTTATGTAGCCTGAGTCCAGGAATTACATGTTGTCAAGTTATATTGAATGATCGAGGAATACTATGCTTTTCTACTTGAACTTAGTGGAATAAACATCTGTAGTGGAATAAACATCTGATTTTGTGTTAGTGAACTACAAATGGCTTGATCCCTATTGAGGGTACGTAGGCAGTCTAATGAGGAGGTTAGATGCAGCCATAAGGTAAACGGAAATTTTCTTTGCAATTTGATTCTCGAATTGTGATTTGCCATATTCCTGAGACAGGGTATGTGAGATATGCGAGTATTTGGGTGACGTCACGTGTCGATCCTGGAGGCATGTTAGGATCGAGACATGACATGGTTTCTATTAGAAACGTCCAAATTAGGAGAATCAAACTTGTGACGGTTCGACAATCCACTTAGTGGAGAGAACAAGATTGTGATTGGTGCTATGGAAATAAGATATTCATAAGCATCAAAGTTAGAACATTCGGGTTCTAAGACATGGTATACATGAAAAATTCGGGTTTTCATTGGTGTATTATTTTAAGAAAACTTCGAGTTTCAAATGCATTAATTTGAAACTACAGGTTCAATTTAGTTTATGAACGTTTAGTTCATAAAAGAGAGGTTCTTGCAATAACACATAATACAATATGCTGATTTAAGTGTAGTGGATTTCAATGTGAGCGCTTCGGGACTACGAAAGAATGTCAACAGTTCAAAGAAGAAAAATAAATTATTGAATCGTTAATTTCCAAAAGTGATATTTGAGCCAATAATTTTGGATGTCTTGTCAGATTAATGGATTACTGGTCACTTTTAATTAATTCAATAGATCAAGACCATACGGGATTGATCATGGAAGCAAAATAATGACATGTGGGTCTTATTAGCTTCAATTAGTAGCGGGCCAAGTGACAAATGAATTATAACTTAATTAGTGTTAACCAAAAAGCATCCCAAAAATTATTTGGGTATGGTTAAGAAGCATGAGATGCCAAAATATGGCATCATGTCGAAAAGAGGAATGCAGCCTAGCACATATAGGCTGGTTGCATTATACGGCCCTGCAAAAAAATAAAAGTTGCAAGCATTTGGGCTTGGGGACATGGCTGCAAGGTAGCCCAGTCCACTACAAGGCAAGGCGCAAGTTTGGACCGAAGATATGGGAAGAGCCCAGCAGTGCATAGGCTGTTAGAGGCGGCCAATAGCAGCACTGGCTTGGTCAAGTATAGGCTGGATCGTGGGAAAGGGGCCAACAAGGCTGTTATGCGACCTAGAGGTGCTGCAAGCCCAGCAGGTTCAAACCCAGGCTAAGGGCTTGGTCCACGCATGCAACAAAGCCCAAAGGGATGTTGCCTTATGGTTCCAGTGCCCAAGCCTCGAGTTGTAGGCTCGACTTGGGGTGAGGTGGCACGACGGCGCACGGCTGAACCGCAAATTTTTCCCAAAAATTTAATTGTTTTTTTTCTTCGAAATTCTTAGGGTTTGAAAAACTCTAATTGCTTCTAATTTCTTTTGATTCTTTAACTCACAAATTCTACATAGCAAAAATTGCATAATGCATTGAACCATGTGTGTGTGTGTGTATTGACAAACATATGAAACATACAATATATATATCGGAAGGAAAATATAAATATAAGGGGTTCATGCTTCATGGACGTTTTTAATATCTTCCTTTATTTTAAGCGTAACTGATTGGCAGAAAACAACAAAAGCCTTTGAATTTGTAGAAGATCTTTCTCGGAAAGCCAGAATTGCATCTCCAATGCATTGTATCACGTTCAACAAATAAAAAAAATTAAATTGAATCAATAGCATGTAGATCAATTCAATAAAATAATAAATTAATCATAAAAAGAATGATTAAAACATAATAGTCTCCTGATTGAAGATCAAACTCTTTTTAGTGCAGCGTCAAGAGCGTGCTGATAACGTGTGGTAGGCCTATTTGACTGAACTTTATTTATGACTAGTAAGGGAGAGAGGTCGGTGGCAAGAGAGAGAAGAGAGAGATTTAATTGTGAGGTGTGTGTTATATCACCCAATTGTGTCTTTATTTATTATAGTAGATAAGGTAAATTCCTTACCCCAATAGGATTACAACTCTAATAGGATAATATATAGTTTAACAGATATGATAGAATCTCATAAGGAAATCCTAGATATGTTAGGATTTACATAATTATATTCCTAATCTAATATGACTGCAACATAAATGACTTGTACACCTGAAATAAAATGACTATTTAAAGCCCATAAAAATACGGACTTTTAAAAATAAATAAAAATCTGAATACACACTTTAAAAAAAAAAAAAAATCTAAATACCATATCAAAATACATAAACCATACTCCATAACAACCACGGTTCCAAGTCTAAATCAAAATTATTTGAACTTAACCATCTGTTCACCAAGCTACCATAACGATACCCAAAACAAACTTATAAAACGACGCGTTTGACTCCGTCACTGCCAGCCTTCTGGTAAACATAGGTGACACCACACTCACCATACTAGTGACTATCGAAATGGTTGGCTATGAAAGTTCCGGCGCCGCACTCAGCATTGGGGCACTCCTTCCTTAGCCTCTGGACCCTTCCGGAATCGTCGACCTTGTAGAACTGGAGGACGGCGAGCTTCACCTTCTTGTGTCTGTGCTTGATCTTCTTGGGCTTGGTGTTGGTCTTCTTCTTACGCTTCTTGGTGCCACTACCGAGACGGAGCACCAAGTGCAGAGTCGACTCCTTCTGGATGTTGTAGCCAGGGAGGGTCCGGACGTCCTCCACCACTAAGTTATTTTGAAGCTGACTAATACTAACAGGTAAAAGACAACGATCTGAAGCAAAGATGAGTGTTCAATATATTATCCCATTTGAAGAACGCAATTGAAAATATAAGCGCAACATAAAGTACAAGAATAATTTCAAAGCTCATGCTCCATTAGCACACCATAACTCTTATAGTTGTTTTAAAAAATAAATCCAAAGTGGTCATATGCTCTACTCATCAGTCATCAACTTGTTCAAAAGAATTCGAGAAGATGCTTTTCTGTTGTAAGGGAAAAGGACCTTACAGTTGTGAGATAGATTTCTTTATGTTTATACTTTATACACGTTGCTAGTTGCAAAATTATTATTTTTCTCTTGTAATTATTATTATTAAATTCTGCATATTTTTCGTTGGATTTCTGTTAGAATTTCTCTGGACTTTCAAAAAATTAAATGTGATGTGGTCCTCGTCGGTGGCTTGATGTCCTGCAAGTAGCATTGCAGCAGAGTTAACACTTCCACGTGACACTAATTAAATAATAAGATCACAATGAGCCCACCATAATCTGAGTTTACTAATATACTCCCACTCTTTATTCATGAATATATTTTCATCTCATTAAGCATCCATTCAGATGAGGCAATGAAAAATAATCCATACGATGATTGCGCAAGTTTCATCATTTTTTTCTAAAAATGACAAGTTGGTGGCTTCGCCACGACAGTTCATCTCGCACGACCTCTTAACGTTACATGATTGAATCCCCAATCTTTTGCTTCTTGTGCAGTGACATCGATGATATCCACTAATCGTTGTTTCCAAATATGGTTGCCCATTGACATCTCTTCTAATTTCAAGAAGCAAATTTGTAACAACCCGTCCCGGAATTTACGGAAGAAAATGAGTATTTTTGTATTTTCACTAAGTTTGGAGGATACCTTCCTTTTTAAAATTGTTTTTGAGCCTTAATTGGTGAGCCCAAGGGGCCCACCCCCTGTTTTGTTCCCGGTTCCCTATCCCTTTCCCTTTTCCTTTTTTCTGAAAAATCTCTCTTCTCTCTTCTCTCTTCTCTCTTTCGTCCTCTGTGATTTCTCCATCCCCCCCCTCTCGGTCCGACAAGAACACACACACACACACACCCAAGCCCACACCTATAGCTCTTTTCGAACCCCATGGTTGTGTTTTGGACGTCAAACCACGAAGAAACCACCTCAGAGACATTTCCCAGTTTTCCGGCGAGCACCGTCCCTTTCGAGGCGATTTCCGGCCAAACCACGGCGAGTTGGCCGGCGTGCAAGGTATCAATCTCTTCGTCTCGCTGAGTAATACAACTTTCCTTTTTGTTTCACCTAATTTCATTGAGTATTGAAGAAGTTATGCTCATTTGAATCTTACCCAGTTTCCGGCGGACATCCGTGGCTTCCAAGCTGTTTTCCGGCCAACTCCGGCCACAATGACGGGAACCAAGGGTATATTTTGATTCCTTACCTTTGGGGCTTCAATTTGGTATATTGAATGACATGTTTTGGTTAAGTTTTGAGCTCCAACGGAGCTTGGGAATTCTCCGGCCGAAGTCCGGCCTTCTCCCTCCTTGGAAATCCGGCGAACTCCAAACCCAAGGCCTTTGGGCCTTTCCTGCCAAGCCCAAACCCAACCCACCTAAAACCCAAACCCAATTATCCTAACCCAAACCCTTAGGCCCAACCCGGATCCAACCCAAGTCCAAACCCAATACCCAAACCCAATCCACCTAAAACCTAAACCCATTTACCCTAACCCAAACCCTAAAGCCCAAACCCGTGGGCCTGACCCGTTGATCCGGACCCTGACCCGTTGACCCTGACCCGGACCTGACCCGTGACCATGACCCGTTGACCGTTGACCCGGTCAACGGTCAGCGTTGACTTTGACCGGTCAACGGTCAACGTTGACTTTGACCTCGGGGGTTGACTTTTTGGGTTTTCGTGCGGGACCCCTCCTAGGCTAATTTCGACGTCCTGAACCCGTTTCCGATGTCCGTTTTCCCAAATTCAACCGTTTGAGTAGAGTTTGACTAAATGTACCGTTTATGTGCTTAGGGGCGATTATCTGTGACGTTTCCTTCTTTGCTAGATGGCGTGGCTTTTCGACGGCGAAGTACTGTGAGTGGACCCCTTCTAAAAATGCATGTTTTAATAGTAGAACTGCATACATGAAAAGCATGATTTGATGATTATGTTTTATGAAACGTTTTACGAGATAACATGCTTACTGAGGCTAGTTTGAATTATTACTATTTTTCCTATAACCCATGTTCTGGTAGAATATCTGATGGATGACGATATGATATTTAGAACATGTTTAGAACACCTCTTTATAGTATAGATGATGGATGACTTTATACTATGAAGTTGATTTTCAATATATGTATGTTCACTGGTTTTATACCTACCTAGTGGTCCTTTCCGCTACGGGACGTAGGGATAGATCCGGTCCGTCCCGGGCGACGGTTTGGTGTTGGCATAGGGCCTGGAGTGTGTTTTCCTCTGACTGTCTGCTCAGAGACGGGGAGCCGGCAAGGGGCCTGAAGTGTATTTTCCTCTGACTGTGTGCTCAGAGACGGGGAGCCGGCATGGGGCCTGAAGTGTTATATCGGACATTCACTAGTGTTTATTATTTATGCGAATTATGATTTGAGACATTGCACGACATGCTAGGTTTCGGAAAACCTATGTTTATCATTATATATATATATATATGTGTTTTCATAAAACCTGGGGGTTAGTATGTTGATAACTGTTTTATTATATATATATCAACTTGGTCCACTCATGTTTGTTTTGCGCCCCCTTCAGGACTTAGAATCGAGGCATACAATCCCGACGTCCAGACACTTCCGCATCGGCATCTTCGAGTCCTCTCGGTGTAGGACCCACTTCTTTGTTTCATTCAATTTTATATTATTTTCTTTTAGTGTTCTAGATTAGTGGTGTGCTCTGAACACGGTCCTTATTTGCATATTCATTATTCTTTTATATTTATAAACCTTATTTATCCCTTGTTTTCAGCTTTTGCACTCAATAAATGGCTTTCGTCACCCTCGGGTGTCGGCCAGCACGTGCCTATCCTGGTATTCGGGGAATATCGGGGTCGGGGCGTGTCAAAATTGTTGCATGGAAGAATCAATACATAAGCCAAGAGGCAAATCTTGTGCCACTCCACCTAGTCATATGAAACTGGCATGCATCTTGACTCCCGAAACTCTTCATAGAATTCCAACAATTTATTGTGCTCCTCGAAAGCCCACAGGAAAGGAGTTGATGCTCCCACAATCATAGCATAACGGGTCCAAAAAGATTCATAGAAGCATTTTAACTTTCTTGGATACTATCGTGTGATTCACCAACGGTAGGAGTTGAATCCAGAATGTGCTAGTAAAATATGAGCTTGAAATTCATTCCAACTACTAGGTCACCCCGTGACAGTTGATGATTGGGCAAGTTTCAATAGGATATTGATTTACGCTCTCATTTTCAACTTATGGAGCTGCACTCCTCTCCTTGTATATAGCCCTTCATTCTCTTTTGATTTGTTCAGTCCGAAGTATAAAAAAAAAAAGGAACGATGAGGGAATGGAGAAAAAGGAGAGTGCGGAAATCCCTCTCTTTTAAACGTATACTAAACAGTCCAAGAGTCTGTATGTAAATATATATTTCACTCAACAAAATCAACAACTGTTCAGCATGATACAATCTATACTACATAAAGAATAATCAACAACTCTGTTAGGGTATGTGCTCACATTTACTCATGTGCTGCAAAAGGGAATTTGCTTTCCTTTGACCTCTGTTGGTTCCACTTTTAGCCAGCTCCACCAGATGCTCATAAACACCATACTGAAGTGCAGCCAAAATGAAAGACGAATTGTTCAATCCCAGCACCAGAAGAACTGATGCAGCGCATTCCTTGTTCTTCGGTGTCCCGTTCTTGATAATCTTGACCAGGGTTTCAATGAAAGACAGCCGGCCTATCTCATTTCGACCGTCGGGGTGTGATGCAAGGAGTAACAAAATCGAGAGGGCTTCATCCGTCATGCCCAAGTTCTTATCCTCAAGCAAATGAAGCAGTGGCGGTATTAGGCCGGCGTTGATGGCTCTAGACTTGTTGGCTTGGTTTAAAGACAAGTTGAATAGTGCAGTGGCAGCATCCTTTTTTCCCCGGGCTGTTCCATTCTGCAGAAGATCTACCAAGGGAGGAATTCCATTCAAAGCCCCCACCAGTACTTTGTTTTCGTCAAGCATCGATAAACTAAACAATGCAGCAGCAGAATTCTCTCTAGCTTCATCTGTTCCATGCTGCAGGATTTCGATTATACCAGGAATAGACCCTTCTCTGGCAATGAGCCTTTTGTTCGCCTCATCAATCGACAAATTTAAAAGCGCTGTCACGGTGTGTTCTTGAATCTTTGAATCCGGATATGAAAGGAGCTTAATCAACTGCGGGATTCCTCCACTGTTAGCAATCAAAATTCTGTTCTCCGGATTCTCCTTAGAGAGCATTCGGATTTTATAAATGGCTTCTTTCAAAACATCCAGCTGACACGAAGATAGATTTTGGACTAAGTGAGATACTTCCTCTATGATTTCAGCAGAAGAGCCATCCGAACCTGCGCAGGGATCCTTCTTGGGAAGTTCATAATTATTCTTCTCACACCATTGATGGATTAGGTTGTTGAGGGCGAAATTTGGCGCTAGGGATAAGTGATCCAACTTTTGTCCTGTCTTTGGGCAGGTGCGATGATTTGAATCCAGCCACTTTTGTATGCTTGCTCGATCATAAGTCTTCAGAAAAAAAACGCAGAAAAAACTATCTCAGACCCCATGTTATGCACTTGAGAAAATTAAACTATGGTTGGACTTAGAAGGCTATCCGATTACATTTTGACCTTAGGCAGCTTTTTTATCAGGATTAAGTTTTCTGTTATGGTAATAACCGGGACTGTAACCGACGCTTAAACCCTAACTTATGATCCATAAGCCAAAATGTAATAACACTTTGAATAAGATGCATTGATCTAACAATTCATAAAGGGTAATAGCTAGTTGCAGAAAGGGTTTAGATGGTTAAGCAGAAAAAACTTATCTATCCCGGGGTTAATATCCCAATGTATCTATCATACTCCTCGCGCAATTCACGTGAGGAGTGAGGTAGAGACATTGGGGGTTTACCCCCGCGACAGGTGAGTCCTCTTCCTATTCGAGATTACCTGTCCAGTTGCTACAATGACAGGATCAGTCATGATCTCCAAAGTAATTGGGCAGAGAAATTCATGAGGAATCCTCAAAGACTGACACCTCCTTAGACTTCTAGTCGAAACAGGACCATCGAGCAAGAAATCCTCATAAATCCCTGCAATTTCCTTGAACTTTCCCAGAAGATCAGTGATTTGTTGAATGCTTTCAGCATTATGCCTTGCCGATCTCCTCTTAGCAAGTTTTCTAACCGCCACGGTTTCCTCCTCCAAGTCTGCAATGGAATGAAGTTCCAGCTTACTGGCAAGCCTCTCCAGAATTGCACTGTCTGCATTCCTGCCTTCCTTTTTCTTAGAGAACATAACCATCATGTCCATTGCCAGCTCTATGTCTTGTGTGTCAGCGCGTTTCTTCGCCCGTTTGAGCTGCATTCGCATTAGCTCGACCTGAAAATCGACACGAAAAATTGATCATTTTACAAGCACATCGGTAATTAATTAACCCAATATCAGAATTTCCTGTATTGTGACTATTGTCCAGTTCTGTTTTCAAAAAAAATTCG